CTCCATGGGGCCGTGGTGGCCCAGAGAGACAGCCTGCCAGTACGAGGGTGAGGCCCAGGGCCACCACTGCTCCACTCCCTGCTGCGCTGAGGGTCTGCCGGGACTTGCTGGGCCACCTGGGCCGAGGGTGTGGGAGGAGGATGCTGGGGATGGGATGACTCACAGGGGGGCCAGGGCCTGGCCCAGCCTCGACCTCGATAGAGTGCCAGGCCAGCCAACAGCTCCACACAGAAAACGGGGGGGCCCAGCAGCAAACCAGCATAGCGTCCTCGGGAGCTGGGGGAGCGGCGGGAGCCTCAGCTCCGAGGGAGGGCTGGGGAGACCAGGAGGCCCTAGTGGGGGTCAGATCCAAAAGCAAAGAGTTTTGTCCCCAAAGGAAGAGGTGGCAGAATCCCCAGGGTCACCCCCCACTCTGCCTTGGGTGAGGCCCAGCCACCTGGCAGACACTTGGCCCAAAGAGAAGTGGCCTGTAGGCCTCAGTGAGGCAACAGTGGCCGAGCCCTGGCTGCCCGCGTCCCTTGGGTCTCGCCCATTGACCGGCCTGCCCGCAGCCTTCCCGCCCTGCACGCTCAGGGTCCGGGAGGCTGTGGTGCGAGCTACGGCCTCTGACCCCAGCCAGGTCCACATCTGCCCTGCACCTCCCTTCTTCACATTTCCACGGGACAGGCCACCACGGTGTCTGGCAAAGAGGTGAGAAAATGTGGCTCCCAGAACAGAGATGTCCCAGGGGTCCAAAGCCCAGGGCCAGGTGCCCCCAGAAGCCGTAGCCAGCACCTGTCGACAGAAGCCTGTGGCCGGGGAGAGGCCTGAGTGCGGGCAGTGAGGCTTCCCTGCAGCCAGGTGCTACGCCCTACGGTGGTTCAGAAAACACACAGCGGACCCCCTCTCTCACAGGCCTGCAGACAGATGGCCGCAGGGCTGCAGCCCGGAGGGAGGGGCCAGCGCAGGCTTGCTGGGCCTGCCGCAGCACAAAGGCCTCCAGGTCCATCTCTGCTCCGGGAGTCGGGGAAAACCGGTTGGCAGGGGAAATGGAGCCCGGAGTGGCCCTCGTGTAAGGTCACACATGGGAGCCTGCCTCTCTGGGCAGGGGTGTCCAAGGAGAGCTGCGGGGCCAGGCCACCACAGCTGGCCCCAGTGTCCTGAATTCAACGGTTTAATACTCATCAGTCAGAATCATCCCAACAACACTCAGCTGCCTGCGCCCTCGCTAAGCCCCCAAGGGCTCCTCAGCAGCACAAGGCCAGGCCTCAGCCCGCGCCTCCTGGCTATGTCCTTGCAGAAGTTCCAGAGAGCAGGCATGCAGGCCAGGCCTCCCTGGGCAAGGTCTGCCCACTGGCTGCTGGTTGTGCAGCCCTGTGACAGATGGGCACCTTGCTCTCGGTCCCTCTAGCCCCCCAAGTGCAGGGAGGATGTGCCCAGTGAGGCCTGGGCCAGGTGTCCCCCTTGTCTGTGCAGTGAACCATCCCAGGACACCCCCCCGCCCCACAGAGGCCCATGCTCCTACCTGCCTGCAAGAGGCCCAGGAGTCTTGCATGGTAATGGCACTCTGGGTGACTCACAGTTGGGGAAGCTTGAGAAACGCCAGCTCAGAGGTCAAGGCCAGAGGTCCCGCTGGTCCTCACACCCACTGTCTCTTCATTGCTGTGAGCCTGTCCTGTCCTGGGTCACCCCTCAGCAGGCACCACACCACTGAGGCCCTCAACCAGAGGTATAACCCTGCAGCACCCACAAAGCCATGCCCATGCCAGCCTGTGCCCAGCCTGGAGAGCCAGAGCAGCTGGGGCAGGGCAGGCCTGGGCTGTCAGCGCCATTAGTGCATCAGAAGGAATTCCGGCTTATGGGGATGCTGGGAAGGCTGCTCCCAGCAGGGCACCTGGGGCTTAGCCCACTTGCTGGCACACAGTAAGCGCTCAATGAACATAGATGACTGCGTGAGCAGGCAGGCTGTCAGAGCAGCTGAGAAACTTGCTTCAGATCAACAGTAGGTTCCAGACTCAAGGGATGAGCCCAGCAGCTGGCCCGGCAGCTCCATGCCCCTGCTGAGACCTCATCCCGCCAGAGAGCCCCCTTCCCCTCTGCGGACCCCCCTCCAAGGAAGGGGCTGCCCCCTCCCAGTTTCCCAGCAGTGATGGATGCTGGTTACTGGGCCTGCTCCAGGAAAAACACGACCCGTGTGACCAGCGCTCCCTGTGCGTCTGCAGGCACTGCCCGTCTGTCACTGTGCAGGGCTCCCAGGCATGCAGGTCTGCATGTGGGCCTGGGAAGCTGCCGGCACACAACAGTTGTGGGCAATGCCCAGCTGCTGCCCTGAACAGACCCAGCACAACTCGGCTCCTCTGGGGCCCAAGGACCCACACCAGTCGGGGCCTCCACTGACTGGCCCTGAGGGCAGGCAGGCAGCAAGGAGAACCTGGCCCCTGGGCAGGCAGGTCAGTGCTGTGGACCCTGGGGCCTGAGGCCAGATCCCAGCTGCCCAAAGTACCCAGGACAAGTTGAAAGCTACCTCTGGAATCTGCCTGACAAGCAGGCTGTAAACTCGGGCATCACAACACCGAACATTATGGGCAGAGAGCTGCAGTCAGGGGGAAACCTCGGTGACAAGCAAAGGTGGGGGTGGGGGTCAGCTTCAGGAGCAGGCCCTGGAGGGTGGAGGGCCTGGGGGAGGCCAGATTTTTATTTTCAGATTCTCCACAAGGGCAAGAGGCCAAGTCCAGCCAGACAGAGCTGCAGAGAGCTGAGCCTGCCGAGGCCCAGCTCCTGGCTCCGGGTGGCTCTGGTTACAGCAGAACGTGGCTACAGCAGGGCTGACACCCACCCACCCTGTGGCCGTCAGCTCCCATGCTGGGGACCCCAGCCTGCCTGCTTGCTTCCTTCCACTAGGGGTGAGGAAGGGGTTGCAGAAAGTGATCTCCAAACCAGATCAGCCAGAGGCCTGGGGGGAGGCAGAGAGGAAGGAGGGGCGGCTGAAGACGCTGTGGACACCCCCAGCCACAAGTCGGGGCCTGCAGCCTCCCTCGTCCTGAGTCAGGGGGCTTAGAAAACAGGGGGCCGGCCAGGGAACCTCTGCTGCCAGTGGCCCTCTCTGAGGAAGGAAGGAATGCCGCCCTGCACATACCGGGAGCAGGAACAGGCCCAGGCCGGCAGCCCTGCCTGGCGAGGAAGCCTGGGGAGGAAGCAGGGGCCATCGGTGGCAGGGGACCTCGGCCACCCCAGGACAGGCTTGGCAGCTCCCAGGTGACTGTGCTGCAGCCCCGAGGTGTCACCTGGCTCCACTGAGCACTCTGCAGTAGCCAGCTTGAGTGAGGCACCTCACCCGGGAGGCCATATGTTCAATCACATGACTTGTGCTTAAATGGCTTCTGGCACATTTAATGACGAGATCATGCCAGCAGGGTAAATGCAAGGGTGATGGTCCACCTGCCACATGCTCACCACCACAGCCCAGTCTGGGCTCCACAGAGGGGAAAAGTTGGGTCTCTGCAAGGGTAGCTGCTCACTGCTCCCAATTTCTAAATCAGGCCCAGCAGTAAGACATTAGTGCCTGATTAATGCCTAATCACTTATCTGCGCACGGCTCACTACCATGTGACACTGTATCCAGGAGACCCTTCCCTGCTGCAGGAGTCCCTGCAGTGGCCAGGTGCATCGCAGGAGGCATCTGCCCCAGGCCCTGCCTGCGCGCCCCTCCAGCAGAGAAGCCAGTCGCCCGGCCCAGCTCCACAGCTTGGACCTTCTCACCCCTGCGCTCCCGGGGCCCCTGCACTTAAAACTGTTAAAATCCCCCCACCCCCTCCCGCCGGACACAACTGCTTGTCACCAGTTCCAACCTCAGCCCGAGTCGCTCCTGGGAGCCTGGGGGACCTGTGATACTAGACAGGGAGCCCCCCCTTTGTGAGTAACTGGCAGGCCAAATCTGGCGCGCCTCTGACC